CCAAGGCGGATGCTAGCAGTTGGGGCATTCAAGAGCACTTCCAAGTTTCCATGGCCGTCAGACAGGCCTTGTTGGTCGACCAGTTGGACGCCTTCAATTTGTTGAGCATTGAGGTACAATTCAGGCGGCTACAAACCATCGAGTTCTCCTACTCCGAGAAAGCACGTGAACTGGAGGCCAAATCTGTGGGCGGGAGGCTCTCCCTCGAAGAGCAAACGACGTTTGGCGGGGTGACTCGCCAATTCTCCACCCTGATGATTTGTCCAGAGTTGTTGACCCACGTCAAAGAAGAAACAGAACGGGAGGCATCGTTGGCCAAGAATTTGAGGAAGGCTCGTGAGGAAAGGGAGGCTGCGAGGCGCAAGGGCGGCAAGCAGTCGGAGAACCCTTGAACTACAAGATGCAGGCTGGTGAAGGTCCTAGCTGGCCTGTTGAACAATCAGGACTTGACCACACCCGGAAGACAGACAGAGATATTTTTCCTTTACCTCATGTACAGCATACATTGCCACCCTTGGGACTTTTCTCGCGGAAGAGCCGTCAGAGGATCGGCCGGAGGAGGCATTTTGAGGAGGAGGTTGAGCACACGGTCCAATCGCTCAAGGCGATGTACGGCCGGCCTGACAAGGGTTTGCGAGGCGGAGTTCATCTTCCACAGCAGGCCCCTAGCCGGGCTCAGACACGTTTTCTTGAATTCATTGAGCAAGCAAATAGGAGGGTTGGGGCTCCCCCTGACCTCTCCGGCCCAGAGGCCCTTGAGGAGCTTCGGGTTCAAGAGGGGTATGCCGAATTGCCTACGGCATCGCCACTCGGGTCCTTCGATCCCGAACTTGTTTCATTGCCGGCGGGAGACAAACAGCCAGTGCCTCTCGCTACGTTGTGGGGCAAGGACGGGCAACAAGAGGTGGAGGATTTCACTCGCACTCAGACGCTTGGGGCTGCAGAGGCTCATAGAAGGCTGGAGGCGAGTGGTGTCGTGAAATGTTATGAGGATCCACAACTCAGAGACCCCGTCAAGTACAGATCGTTTATACAGACATTGCATCGTTTGAACCTGGTTTCATTTCAGCGTGAAGCCCCAGTGGAGAGAGTTGGCATTTTCTTTGTCAGGAAGAAAGGCGGAAAACTCCGCCTGATACTGGATTGCCGCAGGGCCAACTGTTGGTTTGAGGAGCCGGAGGGAATCCACCTGGCCACAGGTGATAGCATTGGTCGGTTGGAGTTGTCCGAGGAGGCACCCCTTTATGTTTGTTCAGCAGACCTGCAAAATGCTTTCTACACTATGGCGATGCCGGAAGCGTTGAGGCCGTTTTTTGGTCTGAGGCGAGTCACGGCAGAGAGCATGGGCCTGACAACGTTGGAGGGCAGCCCACTTCGTCCGGGTGACTGGATATACCCTGTGGTGTCTGTCATTCCTATGGGATGGACGCATGCCATGGTGTGGTGCCAGCGGATCAATGAAAGGATCTGTGAAGAAGCAGGGCTGACGAACTCAGAGCGGCTCAGAGATGGCAGCAGTGTTCCCTCCGGTGATTTTTGGCACATTCAATATGTTGACAATCTCCATGTTTTTGGTACAAACAAAGCAATTGTTGAGGAGCGTTTCTGGCGGGCAGTTGAGGCCCTTCGGGGCCGTGGGCTCACAGTGCACGAGATAGAGGTGAATGAAGGGGAATGTCAGGTGCTGGGCTGGGCAGTCGATCGGGCTGGACTCTTCGGCCCGACCCTCAAAAGACTATGGAGGGCTAGGCTGGCTGTCCGTGAGATCTTGAGGAGAAATGCTGCAAGTGGCCAACAGTTAGAGAGGCTGCTCGGGCACATCACCTTCATCTCCCTGTGCCGCAGGGAGGCTCTATCAGTGCTGGGTGAGACCTACACTTTCACCCGGAAGAACTACACCAGAGTTGCGCCTTTGTGGAAAAGTGTGAGGAAAGAGCTGAGCACATGGGACGGGATCTCACCCCTGATTTTTGTCAACCTGCGTGCACCATGGTCCACCACCTTGTACTCCGTTGACGCCTCGGACTGGGGAATGGGAGTCACCACTTCAAACATCACCCGTGACGAAGCTTCGATGTTGGGGAAGTACACAGAGAGGTGGAGGTTCAAAGACCCGCTGGCCAAGAATCCAAGACGTCATGCACTGGCGGCTCAGGCAGTTGGCGCTACAGCGGAAGGAAGAGAGCAGGCGGAGACTTGGGCCGTATTTGGTGTGCCGGAGTTGGCGTCGAAGTTTCAGGCTGTTGGTTTTGAGTTTGTTGACAGATCATGGAAACTGGTTGGTAGGCACCGATGGTTGCGTGAGGAGAGCATGCCGGTTTTTGAAGCTAGGGCCACACAATATGCTGTTAGGCATTCATTGAGGACTGTTGGCAACCAGCAAACTAGGTTCGTGATTTTGACAGACTCTATGACAGCAGCAGTTTCCTTTGACAAGGGACGATCCCAAGGGTTCCGATTGAGAAGAGTTCTTCAGCAGACAGCGGCGTTGTGTTTGGGCTCAGGGCTCTGTTTCAGGTCTCGTTGGATCCCGTCAGAGTGGAATCCAGCTGACCGTCCCAGCCGGAGTGGATGGACACCTTCCACACCGAGGCTCCTTCAGGCAGATGATACACCGCCAACTGGGAGTACAGGCCACATGGGACAGACCCTCAAAGAAAAGCCGCTGCTCAAAACCGAAGAGCAGTGGGGTCTCCACACCCACGGGACCGATGCCACCCATGGCCCCGTTGACATGGGACATAGAGATGAGCACCGCAAGTGGCGGGGCAAAAAGGAAAGAGAGGGCGGCAAGAAGAGCAAGAGCAAAGCAGGCGGATCCACAGCACACTCTCCGGAACAATGCAGTGGGGCCCCGGACTTTGCAGCAGTACAACAAGCATTGGAAAGATTTTGTCGAGTGGACAGGCTGTCTGGTGAGCGAGGCTGCGTGTCTCCCAACGATAGACAGCCACCTTGCCGACTATCTGGAGATGCTTTACCACAAAGGAGAAGATCTGAGCCAAGCAAACTATGCCACGGCTGCAGTGATGTTCAAGGTCCCAGGCACAAAGGGCCTACGCCAGCTGCCGAAGTCACAGCAGGCGATGAAGGGCTGGAGGCGATTGTGTCCGGCTCGGAGTCGCTTGCCAGTTCCATACGAGGTGGTTTGTTTGCTCAGTCAAGTGGCCTTAAAGAGCGGGAAGGGGGAGCTGGCCATTGCCCTCCAACTGATGTTCCTACTCTACCTGAGGCCATCCGAGATCACAACACTGAGGGTGCAAGACATAGTGCCCCCAGTGAAGACCAGGGGCCGGCGCTACCCCCACTATGCCGCGCTGCTACATCCCACCGAAGCGGGGATTCCTTCAAAGACAAAGCAATGGGACGAGATGTTGACATTGGACCTCCCACATCAACAGTTTGTGGGCCCGACATTGTTCAAGATCCTGAACCTGGCAAGCCGACCAAAGGACGACCCGGCTTTCAGTGTCACTCTGGAGGAGATCAACGACTTCATGGGTCAGCAATGGAAGGCACAGCGGCTCACCAGCCTCGGCCCTCCTCACCTTTACCGTTTGAGGCACGGGGGGGCGAGTTTCGAGGCGGCTGGCAAGCACCGCGACATGGTGGGAATCCAAGCCAGGGGCCGTTGGCAGACAGTCAAGTCGGTCAAGAACTACGAAAAGGGCGGCCGGCTGCAGCAACTTTTCGCCGCCCTCCCAAAGGCAGTTCAGAAGCGCTGCACCGAGGCTTTCCGCGACATGGCCAAAAGTTTCCGCAGCCTGCATTGAGCAATAGAGTGGTTTTGCATTTTGCAGTGTTTTTGGAGATCTTTAGTGGTTGCGGTCGCCTTGGGAAGAGCATACATCGTGTTTGTGGGTGGCCTGTCTTATTTTGGGACATTTCCTATGGCCCGGAATATGATTTGACCAGCCGGTTGAATCAACAGAAGATCCTGCATTGGCTTCAGACTGGCCAAGTTCGTGCTGGTCATTTGGGGACACCGTGCAACTCCTTCTCGAGGGCCAGGGATCAACCCGGGGGACCGCCACCCCTCCGGAGCGACAAGTATCCCATGGGCCTGTCAGGCCTAAAACCTCACGATGCGCTCAAGGTCAAGCTTGGCAATGCGCTGCTCTTTTTCTCTTGCCGTGTTTTGTTGCTGGCACTCCACTATGGGATTGCAATGACGCTGGAAAACCCCCGGAGATCGCGACTATGGATCACTAGCAGTGTCCAGCGTCTCATGCGTAGACGTGCAGCTTGCATAGCACATGTTGATTTTTGCACGTTTGGCGCCCCATGGAAAAAGCCAACAACAATCATGGGCATACACATCAATTTGGATTTGCTTCAACCTTATCGCTGCATCGGCACCAAGCGGGCCTGCTGCCTTTTGAGTGGGAAGCCTCATGTCCCTCTCACTGGCCACGCCCCCAATGGTTGTTGGTACACAAAGCTGGCTGAACCTTATCCACTCCGGTTCACTCGTCTGTTGGCACAGGCCTTCTTGAATACGGACCTCGCTAGCATTGCCCGGGATTTCAGTCGATACTTGAGTTGACGGCCTAACCAGAGGGCTTCTCAAACTTGGGTCGCAATTTTGGGCATTCGATGAGGACACCTTCGAAGTTCTGAGCTTTCAGCAGCGCTGGAGATGAAACCATCTCTGGCTAGCGCCATGTGAACCACTGGCCATGGAAAAGCGAGAGAACGTTTCATATTTGTCTTGACAGGTTTGATGAGTTGATGGGTTACGAATGGCCGCATGACACCACGCTCAAGCAACACCCGCCCCTTGCAACCCACCCGTGCTTGGGTGTCGGGCATTCGATGAGGACACCTTCGAAGTTCTGAGCTTTCAGCAGCGCTGGAGATGAAACCATCTCTGGCTAGCGCCATGTGAACCACTGGCCATGGAAAAGCGAGAGAACGTTTCATATATATATATATATATGGGTGGTCTCTCAATACCAGCGCATGCGTCGCCACTGATATCGCAGCCTTTGCTTTGTCAGGACCCTCCACCACAGCCGACAGAAGCTACTGTCATTTCCGCCGAAGCGAAGGCACTGGCCTTTGAAGCCCCACGTTCCAAGCAGCTTTCTTGAAGTTTGGAAGTAGTGCGAGACAAAGGTTTGCTAAAGTCAACGGAATGGCAACTTGTGCTTGGGCAGGTTGAAGAGCCAGAGGTCAAAGCAGTTGCAGCAGATCCTCCCAAACACGAGGAGGACAACATGTTTATCTATCTATATTTTTTCATAGCTATCTATTTGGAGCGTTCTCGGTGCAATTCTAGCGGAATAAAAGTCGCTTGAAAGCGCCGTTCGTGTAGTGGAGTTCCAGCTGTTGATTGAATAGAGGTGCAAGTTTTTACTTTTTAAGTTGTGACACAGTTAGCAGAATGATTGGTCATGGGTAACAGTTGTTTCTGTTGTGGAAATGAACACCTCGCAAAGAATAGGCTTCAAAGAAGTACATGTTCGGCTTGCTCGTCCTTCCCGTGTCAGCTTGGGGCCGTTTCCGACAGACATGTGTTGTGCTATATGGGTGGTCTCTCAATACCAGTGCATGCGTCGCAAGTGATATCGCAGCCTTTGCTTTGTCAGGACCCTCCACCACAGCGGACAGAAGCTACTGTCATTTCCGCCGAAGCGAAGGCACTGGCCTTTGAAGCCCCAAGTTCCAAGCAGCTTTCTTGAAGTTTGGAAGTAGTGCGAGACAAAGGTTTGCTAAAGTCAACGGAAGGACAACTTGTGCTTGGGCAGGTTGAAGAGCCAGAGGTCAAAGCTGTTGTGGCAGATCCGCCCAAGCACGAGGAGAACAACACATTGTTGTTAATAAATAGATGACAGCGCGGTTCGTGTAGTGGAGTTCCAGCTGTTGATTGAATAGAGGTGCACGTTTTGACTTTTAAGTTGTGACACAGTCAGCAGAACTCTTGGTCATGGGTAACAGTTGTTTCTGTTGTAGAAACGATGAATAGGCTGCAAAGAAGTATGTGTTCGGCTTGCTTGTCCTTCCCGTGTGCAGCTTTGCTGTTTCCGACAGACATGTAGCCGGTAGCCAAACACTGCTTGCTCGCTTTTTGATAGAGAGGCCTCCATAGCACCGAGATCTTGCATAGTCTGCAACATAATCTGCCATGGCTCATTGTTTTCTCTGAGCAGCACACCTGAATAGCTTTCAGAGTCAGAAGAGAAGCAGGCTTTGTCTCCTCAAGTAGCCCCAATTGAAATACGTGTACCTCTCAGAACTGCTCTGGCTCAAGAACTTTGTGAAGTCGAACTGAATGGCAAAATTCTAAAACATCATATCTGAACGTCCCCCGGCTTCTGCTTGGCGTCTGCTGTGTCCTTCCACAGAAAGAAACCAAAGGGGCAACTAAGCCCCTCTGACAAATCAAAACGGCTCAATGACCACGTTTTTGTTTTTGTGCTTGAGACCACAGAACCAATTGTGCATTCGCTTCGCCCTGCATTTGCATGATGAAGGGCACTAGACTTGCCCTAGAAGGCTGACAAGAAATAGGGCTGAACGTGAATAAAGAGAGAGCAGGAAGCTCCATCAGATGATTTTAAAGATCAGGACTGCTCCATCAGAAAGCCGTAGAAGAATTATCGGCAGCAACCGCCAAGCAAGATCTCTGCATGCGCCGGGCCACTAGCGTAGGATTTCGCTGGCGATTTCCGCTTGACATCAGGTAAATGTTTGGCGAGATTCTTTTAAATTTGGTTTCGATTGCTAGAGATCAACTGCAAAAAGTTGCAGCAAAAGGCAGAAAGCTGAACTTAGCAGATGCCAAGCAGAAATTAGAGGATGTTCAGATATGACGTTTTAGAATTTTGCCACTCAGTAAATGGGGCTACTTGAGGAGACCAAGAAGAAGAAACAAAAGAAGAAGGGCAGGAAGACGGTGAGAACCTCAGCCACACCATGATCTTGGACGACCCAATGGTTTTGCAAATGTTTGAGTTGTTCCTTTTTAAGTTGGTCCCTGAAGAAGAGACTGGTTATGGTCGCCATGTCTCAAGCTGCGTCAATTCTCCCCAAATCTCGAGGTCTATGCAGTTTTTCAGGTGCGTATGGATTATGTGGAGAGCAGAGTAGTTACTTCAAAAGTTGAAACTGAGCTGAAGACGCCTCTCTGTCAACTTATGGACGACCATGCGCCGGTTCTGTCAGACAAGGGGCCGTTGGAGGTGAACATTTAAACTATGTATACTCTAACGGACAACCAAGGTCTAGGGTGCCACGTCAATTCCAGGGGTCTTGGTTTTCGGCCAAGGCAATCCTTCCCAAGAAAGGGTTCACCGGACAGCTACCGGCCCAGGCCGGGTTGTTGAAGTTTGTTGAGGGTCGTCGGATAGGACATGGTAGGGCCGCCCCAACAGCTCTGCGTTGTTCACAACGTCGCGCCGACACCGACGTCGAGCCTCTTTGCTAACGTAGTGGATTAAATCACCTTCCTGTGCGAGAGCCACCGGCCATTCCATTTTATCCCACACTGCCGGATGCGGCGTGGCAGATCAGCGAGCGCTTCAAGGGCACGGTTCAGGTCCGGAGGGAGGAACACATGGCTTGGGCGTGCTACGGCATGCTTCGTCATAGCCAGGATTGATTTCTGCCATGCGACGGGTACCGCGTTGTTTTGACCTTGAGACAACTCCCTTTTTGCCGCTTCTCAGTAAATTAGCAGAGACATATATGGACAACTTGCTTCAAAGTAGTTGGGACCTGACTTGAACAGACTTCAATACTTGTAGCTCATTGAGCCGTTTTGATTTGTCAGAGGGGCTTAGTTGCCCCTTTGGCTTCTTTCTGTGGAAGGACACAGCAAATGCCAAGCAGAAGCTGGAGGACGTTCAGATATGATGTTTTAGAATTTTGCCATTCAGTTCGACTTGACAAAGTTCTTAAGCCAGAGCAGTTCGGAGCAGTGCGTGCAATCAAATTGGGACTGCTTGAGGAGATAAACCTGGAGGCCAAGTGGGAAGGTTTTTGACTCTTCCTGCAGGAGCACCAAGTGGCAAGTGAGGAAAATGTCGAGTTGGAGACCACCATTGCGTTGCAGGCCATCGCTATTGGGTTGGAGGCGATTGCTATTAGGTTGGAGGCCGTCGCTATTGGGTTGGAGGCCGTCGCTACTAGGTTGGAGTATCGCTGTTGGGTTGCAGGATCACTATTAGGTTAGAGGCCATTGCTGTGGCGCTGTTAGGATGGAGGCGATTGGTGTAGTGGAGGCCATTGCTATCAGGTCATTAGGCTGGAGACGGGTTCGAAACAGCGGTGAGTCGATGCCGCCAGGCGATCTGATCCGAGTCAAGGCAGAACATCCACTTGCTGGTGAGCTATTTGTTTGAACATTCACCAGGGCTGTTCATTGTACATACTCAGTGCAGAGAGGCGAGCCAGTGCGGAAGCTGAGAATGATGAGTGGTTTGTAACGGTTTGTCGTGCAAGTGTTCCTTTCGACAACTAGCTTAGTCTCCTTCCCCTTCTCACAGGCAGTTGCTTCTTGCCGCCTCCTTTGCTTTTCGTTACATCACTTTCAAGTTGTCTCGCCGAAATGGCAAAGGATTTGTGCTTCTAACAGCATGTGAAGCACAATTCTGATTGATTTATTGGTGATTGTTTGCCGACACGGGGCAAGGTTCCATTCCTCAAGTGAAAGCACATTTCTGCATTCGACCAGTCAAAATGGTGCTTGCATCAGGAGAGTGAGAGCCAATGGGTCCGCAGAATTGCTTCAAAGTGCTCAGGCCATGATCTTAAATGTGTATTGGTTTCAACAAACTTGGTCTCATTCTTCCAAGCGCATCTGGGCTTGTTTTGCAGCTTCTGGGCTCTCAGCTGTCGGTGAGCTGTTGAATGCGTTCTCGGAGATCACAAAAAATAGCAAGCCAAGAGCTTTGGCATTTCCATTGCGGGCTTTGATCGAATCTATTCCAGATCTCTTACCTGTCGTTTGGTGTGTTGTCTCCGTTGCATGAGGTTTGGTTGGAGTCGTCTTGCGAAAGCTACAAGCCTGAGCTGCGGCTTGGCTTAGGCAGACCAACATCTCGGACAAAGCATTCCATTTCCGCAACTCGCATGGTGCTCAAGTGGCTGGATGACGGAGGCCAAGGTTTTGGGCGGGGCGATCAACTTGATGGACTGACGGAAGAGGACAGACAAGAAATCCCTTTTCCTTTTATATTTGTTGCTTTTCCTTCTTCTCTGTTTTGTTTCTTCTTCATCATCTTCATGTTCTTCTTCTTCTTCTTCTTCAAAGACAGGATATACATATGAGCAAACACTTTTCTTCAGGCTTTACTAAAGTAGTCTACGGCATGCTCTGTTTGTTTGTCTATCATCAGTGTTCGCCTGTGAACGAGATAGGGCCCCCACATCAACAAGATACTTTTGCTTCATGACACTCAAGTAGTCTGAACAAGATAGTGGGATGCAGTTGCGTCTACTTTTTCTACCCTCTCTTCTACCACCTCACACCTGTGAGCCCTGACACCGAAAAGGCCCTTCGAGAAGGCACGCATCACCGAAACCACTGGCTCCTGGTGTGCCGGACCCTTCAGCACCATGAGGCGGCGAAGCAGGGAGGGTCTTGCGGTCTGGGAAGTGAAATGGTTTGATGATTTGCTTTGCTTGGTGCCTGGAGAAGAAACTTGGTGAAGACCTTTGGATGCTGTTGAGACTCGGCCCGAGCTGGCCGCTTCGTCGGCTTAACCTCCAGCGGCTTCGTCTCTGTGAGTTTCAGCAAAGCTCTCGGAATTACTGAAATCATCATGGAAGTGGATGGCGTGGCCACGAAAAGATGACCCTGAAATCTCAATACCGGACCGATGGTGCCATCCACTTGAATGATGATTTCAGGGAGTGTGCAGTATGGCGTTCTTTTTTTAACTCAGAGCGAAGCTCTCTCGCACCCCCTGCAAGTGGAGCCGTAAACCTTGGCTCATTCCTAATAAAAGAAAAGGCCCATAAACAAAACTGGAAACTGGGTTGCCCCTCACGTCCAGCCCACTCAGCCGCTCGCCGCTCTGGCGGCCATGCCTTGGCTCCGCCTCGCATCGTGACAGCGCAGCGGTCGTTACAGCGATCGCGCTGGCTTTTTGGATGATGACACTTCGTACATTTTTGGAAATCGCTGCAAGATGACACGCCAAATCGCTGTTTGATTTCTTTAAACAGTCCTTCAAGTCTGGAGCTTCTTCACCTAAGCAGTTGGTAGGGCTCGTGGATCATCGTAAACCTGGATTTTGCATTTAATAAGTGACGTGTCGTACTTTAACTTTTTCCTTTGGAATGAACAACCAAACTTTCTCAGTGCCGGACACACGATGCCTGGCCGGTTTTCAGTTGAGAGAGAGAGAGTCCCTGTGCAGGCGCACCCTGGCACACTCATCGCCACAGATGCCAGCACGGTCGCCTGTGGCTTAGCTTGGGCCATCGGTGAAGTGCAGCGAGAGGACGTGGTAGAATGAACGAAAAGGAAAGGGAAGGGGCCCTCCCAAACAACGGACTGGATTTACTTCAAGATCCATCTGAACATGAGCCAAGCAACCAACAAGCGGCAGCGCACGACAGTCTGGTGGCATTCTCTTGCAGTGAGTCGGTGGCACGTTGCCGCATGTTGTCAAGGCCATTTTGCGGCTAGAGAAGTACGGTGAGCTCTCCACAGACCTTCGGAAAATGCTGAACGCGCCTGAGCAGCAAGGTTTGAATGTTTGAAGCCATCACTATCTCGATCTGGACTCACCTTATCATTTATGTTTATAAAGATCTATCAACAGTCATAAATAGCCTCCATTGGCTTCGATGCGACTCCAAATAACTGTAGTGTTTATGTACTGCCTGGGCCAGATTTATCGGGCATGTCCCTTTTCAACAGAATTGGAGAGTTTCAATCAAGGTCCTCGTTTGGCACCTTTTGACCCTTGCAGAATAAGCCGCGCTCGTTTCTCGAGGCTGATCTTCTTCGGCAGTGGCCATCTACGTGAGAACGTGAGAGGAACGGCTCAGGTGCCGCTCTCGCAACATCCCGAAGTCCAGTGACGCCAAGGCAGGCTGATGGTGGAAAGTTGGGTAAGCTGGGTATGCTGTAAAGAGAAAGTAGATGAAAGTAGAGCAAAGTAGCGTGACAAGGATGCAAAGAATCAGACTGGACTTGAGTCTGACTTGTATGATTTTTCTGTTTTTGTTTGTATATGAGACGAGGACATGTCGCTGCCGCCATTTGGTCGAGCTTCTTCCCCCACACGAGGTCTCTCTTCGGCAATAACCGCAGATCAGCTGCACCGAGACTTTTTTGAGACGAAGCTGAGGCAGGGAAGGGCCTTTTCCAGTGTGAGGTAGAAATTCCATCATCCAGCAGTGGCGCTTGAAGAAATAGGGTGCGAAATTCATGGGTTCCAGGTCGGGTGGCGCTTCACAAATCTGGAATTTGGAAACTTATTTCGTGATATGTCATGTCAACATCGGACTCTGGGCTTCGGAAACCTATTATGACTAAGTTGCTACCAAGCTTGTTGGAACTGAAGGGGCGTGGGACACCAATTAGCGTGAAGCCCCAAAAATTCCTCGAAGCGCCTCACTCTCCCAGGCATGTCCCCTCGTAGGTTCCCAGAAGAACCCCTCATTGCGCGCTCCGCAACTGCTGACAGCTGCTGACAGCTGCCAGCCGTCGCCTCGCAGGAGTCGAAAAGACATCCCACAGGGCTCCTGGACGACGATCCCCGGGAGGCACTCCGCAGTGGAGCCGAAAGATCCAGCGGAGAGGATGGTGGAATTGGAGATCGTCCTGGTCGTGACTTTCGGTCGAGCGTTTTGTTGGCGAGTTGGGAACGGTTCCATGGGGGAGCTGGCAGTTTCGGTCCTTGGTTCTGGCGACATTTGGTTGTTATTTGGCTGCTCGGGTTTTCGGGCAACACATCTCTCAATTTCTGATCCCGATCGAATGGGAAGCGTGGCTCGTTTCCATTTTTTTTTTGACCGAAGGTTGGACAGCTGTGGACTCGGAAGATTTGGGATCCTTTGGGATCTTTTTTTGGAACCAACGCTGCAGTGGGAGTTGGGAGATGGTCTTCCCAAATTCCCGAGACCAGAAGGACATGTCCAAAAGGGTGAAGATTGGCATTGGTCATCCGGATGGAGCGACTCTGCCGACATCCTTCGAGGCCGTGTCGGACCCCAAACCCAACGGCGGACAGCGGCGGAGCGGTCGGTGCGGCGAATGCGGAGGCAGAACGAGCACCCCATTCCACGACTCGGACTCGGGTGGTCAAGGTGCCTGCGTGACGGAGATCCAGGGTTTTGAGGGTGGGGAGCGACTGAATGGACTGACGGAAGTGGAAAGAAAAGGTATTTGAACAAACTTCATTTCCCTTCGTCTTCTTCTTCTTCTTCTTCTTCTTCTTTGCCGAACAGGGTTGTTGGATGTCCTTGGCAATTTTCATAGGCCTCTCAATGAAGTGCTTTCTTTTTTGCATCGCTTTGAGCCCTGCGTTCACGCACTCCAGACTTCCGCAGGCTGCTGAGTGCCGGGTGCCATTCGTCTGGTCGCTTGAGGGTGGAGCCCCTTGGCCTCACAATATCGCGGATTGACGCCCCAACATCGCATCGCTTCCCTGTGGCGGTTAGGAGGAGGCGATCTCCATGACCGAAGCTAGATCTTCCATCCGGATTCCCCAAGCTAAATCACCTCCCACCTCGCTTCGCCTGTCTCGCGGTGTCCGCAAAGTCCCGCCCCAGGTGGACCCGGAATCCCCACAGCGAGACCGTGTGGATCTGAGCAATGGCGCAGTGAGCGTCCTCTCTGAGCCTTCCCCTAAACATCGCTCCGAAAAAGGAAAAAAGAAGAGGAGGACTCTTTTCCGTTCTTTGTTCCAATGTGTTTTGTGTCTCTCCCAACGCCCCTATGGCAGGGCGTGCGATGTGGCATTTGGCACCTGCTTTTTCTACCCTCTTTTCTACCAGCTCACACCTGCAAGGCCTGACCAGACCCTTCAGCACCATGAGGCGGCGAGCGGGGAGGGTCTGGCGGTCTGTGAAATGAAAATCCTCCGTCTCTTAGGGAGTGTGGTTTCATGGTGGGCCTTGCTTGGTGCCCGGAGAAGAACTTTGGTGAAGACTTCTGGACCCCGACTGCAGTTGGAGACTCGGCCCGAGCTGGCCGTGAGTTTCAGCAAAGCTTTCAGACTTACACTGAAATCGTCATGGAAGTGGACGGCATGCCCCCGAAAGGACCCTGAAATCTCAATACCGGACCGATGGTGCCATCCACTTGAATGATGATTTCAGGGAGTGTGCAGTATGGCGTTCTTTTTTTAACTCAGAGCGAAGCTCTCTCGCGCCCCCTGCAAGTGGTAAACCTTGGCTCATTCTTGATACAAGAAAAGGCCCATAAACAAAACTGGAAACTGGGTTGGCCCTCACATCCAGCCATGGTCGAACATCTTTTTTGCAACTTGAGAAGGCCACATGGAATTGGTTCACTGTTTGAATCTTGAGGCCACCTTTGAAAGCACGTATTGGGGCGGAACCTCTTTGTTATGACCCGTCACAGGATTTTTCGGCGGTTCGTCACATCACCCTGGAATCGATTCTCGGTGTGGGGCAGGAGGCCTTCGAGAAGATTCGAGAGAAGATTCGGGCTGTGAGGACAGTGAGGACTCACTGGGCTGAGAGAGGGGCGTTGCCTTCACGAACAAGCCCACATGGCCAACACATTTCAGAAGGCTAAAAAACATCTTGAATTCACTTCGCTTGAAGTTTAAACTTGGGGAAGGCGAAGAACCTTTCGCAGCTCTGATCTGTTGCGCCCAGGACGCAGTGCCGTGGCCGTCGCCTGACAACGGCGCCCGCGTCGGTCGGTCTGGGGTCGGCCCGGTCGGAAGTCTCTGCAGTGGACATGAAGAGATTCATTGGGTTTGGCCCAAGAACGTCGTAGCTCTTGTTTTCTTCTTCTTCTTCAGTTTTACTTACCTGCAACAGTCGGTAAAGAAGAACAAGGCCTGCAACCAGGCCCCTTCATCATCCACTGTTGCTGCTCATCGGATAGATCTAACATATGAATTTCCTGGCATTTCAACCACGGAGGTTCCTCTTTGTGTTTCTGGAGCACTGTATCCATATCATTCTGGAACCCAAGTGTGCAATCTGGAACGCAAATTCGCTTGAAGCTTCGCATGCGAAGCTAGTTTGAAGTCTAGTTCACTCGTGTCAGCAGCAGATCCAAGCAGTCCCAGAGACCGGGCCCCGTCTCTCTTCGTTTGGGACATTTGGGTCGGAGATGTTTGGCTTTTCGAGTCCCAGCGGCTCGCGCGTCCCATCCGGGGCACGAGGCCCATCCCCGTAGCGACAGAGGCGTGAATGCCGGACAGCATGGCGCTTTGGAAAAACGACGACTGTGATGCCGTCAGAGTGTGGCGAGGGAGGTAGGGGGAAACGATTCCTTGTGTACCAGCAGAGGTTGAAGAATCCTATAGACTATCCTATAGGTACTCCTGTAGGGTCCTATTAGGTAGTTCGTGCCGACGACTGGACTTCAAGTGCTGCAACCCAGCTCAACAGCAAATCCTTCTCTTCCATACGGTTGTTCCTTACTCTGGACCATTTTTGATGGGTTCGTGGGTGGGTGGTGTGCTGCTGCTGGTGGGTGGTGTGGCATTTTGTAGGTTGGTTAGTTGCCAGTGCTCGATGTAAATTGCCTTGCTTCAGTTGGGCTGTGCACATCTCTTCGTATTGGAGAGTTTTGGATCATTGTGTGGGACCCGATGGTTGGAATCATGGCTGTGCTGCATTGAAGGGACGGTGGTCGGGGAGGGTGCACTAAGAAAGCCTTAGTTGGCTGCGTCTAAGTTCTTCCTTAAGAATCAAGAAAACAACCCCTGAACTCCAACACTAAATCCAAAACCCAAGTCAGTGCCAACACTGAAGATATGTTTCACTCCAAAGCAATACAGCGAAAAAGGCGACTCTTTGTAAAGACCGGGGCCCTGTTTGCAGAGGAAAACTATTTTTGCAGAGGGCCATGTTCCACTTCCATGATTGTTTCAGGGAGGGTAACAGCATGGTAACAGCATGTTATTCTGCAGCTTTTCCAGTGTGTAAAGCTGGTTACCGCACCGCTCTTCGACGCAGCTCGAAGCTCCGCTGCACGGGAGACACGGGCGCACGGTGTGGGAATGGTGCTCCAAAAAGCGGCGCACGGTCCGCAGGTGGTGGGCGACGCCAGCGTTGGCCTTTGCTTTGTTCAACGGTCAATGTGGAGGAAACAGAAGAAGCTGCAAAAGAGACAAGCAATGGGAAACAGTCATGCAGTACGTAGACGCAGTGGCACCCATGCCACTCCGTTCCGTGCGTTCGCCGCTTCCTTGGCCGATGAATTTTTGATTGCTTAATCGTCCGTGCTGCGTTAGCTGATCTCTGCACCACCCTGTGTGGTGCAGGTGGTGTGTACACAAGATTGTTGCTTTCAAGCCACGGCGGGGAGGTCTGAGAATGTGGCGGTGTCCCTACGACCGTGGTCTGAATGATTTGGTTCCAGAATTCTAGCATTTCCGACAGCTTCTCGACTTAGTGGTCGCCTCAGGACATGGACCTTGAGCGCTTGCGCCAGATTGGGCACGGGACGTCAGACCTGTTTGATGAAATCATTGCCAAGAACTCCATGCAGGGCCCAGACATCGCCGGGGTTATATGTGTTTGGGTTGTCATTTTTCCGTTGCTCCGAAGTAGGAGAGTTCCAGCACTTTGGCCGGCTCGCGACCCTCTGTAGTCCAAGGCTGGATGTCATGTTGGTAGAGCCCATTTTGCTGTGCCTTGGAGCGAGGGTGGTGGAAGGAACCAGCTCTTGTTCGCTGCGGTGGACGAAGTGGAGCAACATGGTGAAGGTTCCCTAAGTACAGTTGCCCTAGCTCAGTGATTCAAATCTGACCCAAGTTCTATGCGCGCAAAAGCGTTTCGATCACGGTAGAGTCATCTTGTAGTGCTTTGGTAATGTAATCACAGCTATGGAGCCCCCAGTCCAGCCAACTCTCAAGTCTGGAGGCACTTCAAGTCAGAATGAATATGAGAACCTATCCTTGCTAGGCAACGTTATGTATTTACGCATACACATGCATATACCAAGGCGCCGCATGAAGACTGATGGAGACTATGTGGAGGTGGGGGAGGGTGTTGGCAAACGGGGGTTGACGGTAGAGGGGTAAGCAAGCGAGAAGCCTCATGCGGCTTGCAGGCTTTGTGCGCGCAATTTTACATGAGCCTGGCCGAGGGTATGTTTTAACGTGATTTTGATCGCTAAAGATCCGGACTGCTCCTTCAGAAAGCCGTAGAAGAATTATCGGCAGCATCCGCCGAGCAAGATCTCTGCGGTGTTTGGCTGTGACATGATATGCAGAATTATACTGTCGTACTCAGCTTAAGGGGATAGATCCCACAAATGACTGACGTTGCCACTCAGTTCGACTTCGCAAAGTTCTTGAGCCAAAGCAGTTCGGAGCAGCGCTTGTTTTTATTAATTGGGGCTACTTGAGGAGAGCAAGAAAAAGAAGGGCAGGAAGACGGTGAGAACCTCAGCCACACAATGATCTTGGACGACCCAATGGTTTTGCAATTGTTTGTGAATTTCATTTAGTTGTTCCTTATACAGTTGGTCCCTGAAGAAGAGGCTGGTTATGGTGGCGATGTCTCAAGCTGCGTCAATTCTCCCAAAATGTCCAGGTCTATGCAATATACAGGCGCATATAGATTCTGTGGAGAGCAGAGTAGTTATTTCAAAAGCTGAAACTGAGCTGAAGAGCGTGATGTTTGGTCATTGGGCATTGGGTAACGCCTCTCTGTCAATTTATGGATGACCACGCACCAAGTTTTGTACCAGGTGAAGCTTGCCCGACATCATGCCTCTCATCAATGATATTCCGCTTACCTACCAGTGACCACTGGAAGTGATCGGTTCCGAACTATACGAAACCCATTCCTTCAGAGCAGAAAACTTCAGCAGAATGGCCCGAAACACTCGGGATGTGGCCTAAACGCATCTGATCGTCAGTGGAAACTTTGCATCTGAGTTCTTAGTAGATGAAGGTTTGCTGTAGTTTTTATACACAATCCAAACTTACGTGTCATTGTCCAAACCTTCTCGGCCGCATGCTCATGATGAGTGTGACGATGAACGGGCGAACTTGCCGCTGCCGTTTGAGGTGAAAGCCGACGGCCGCGGCCGCCTGGGCCAGAGCCTCAAAAGAGCTGTCCCCATGTCTGATGGCTACGCTCCCCTTCGTTGGAGATGGTTTTTGGGCTATGATTGGCTACTGGCTATGCAGTCTGACAAAAACGTAGGATATCGCAGGAGATACTTTTCTCATCAACTCTCTATTACATTTTTTCAGTGAGGAGAGGGCGCGTCTTTTCCCTTATGATCAAACACCATCTAGCGTTTGCAGCAGCAGCTAGTGCAGCTCTCCAATGGATGAAGTGGCTTCTTGTCTCAGAAGCGAGCCCTTCGCATCTCGGACCCCAACCGTCTCGGCGTCCAAGGCTGAAGATTGTCGAGGGCGAGCCGATACTCCTCCTGTGCTTCACGGGCTGGGGCGGAGGATGATGGGAGGACGGAAGCGGTTTTCGGGAATCCAAAGCAGAGTGGATTGGCACACGCATACTTGAAGATGCTCCAGAATTTAGAGTTGGTTGACCTGGGGGCTCCATAGCTGTGATGATATCACCAAAGCGCTAGAAGATGACTCTACGCGGTGAAAGTAGCTGATCAATCCGGGCGTTTCATGTCCTTTTTTTGCGCGCGTAGAACCAGGGGTACCACGTTATTGGCGTGGGCTTGCAGGATACTACGTACATGAATATATTCAAGTTAGGCCAACAAAAGTTAGCCATACAGGCCATACAACATATGACAGAGCCTGGTGGGGAGTATTTAGTCCACTGATGGCGTTTTGACGCCTTTGTTGCAGTCATTTCTCCATTTTGCAGGAGTCTTGCCATGGAGCTCGAGTATTTGACCAGCCTCGGGCGCATGGCCCAGTGATGCCACGAGACCTCGTGTCGCACACGAGCCCTTCACGGGGGCCTCGGCGTCCAAGGTTCAGCATCATCGCCACGGAGCCGATTCTGTTGCACCACCCAGAGGCCGTTCAGATCTCACGCCAGTACGCTTAATGCGCTGGGCCCTGCATAGAGGGATGAACACATAGCTGGGCCTTGCAGATGTATCCCCTTAAGCTGGGTACGACGGGTGTAGACTAGTTCTGCGTATTTCCATCGTGTATATTTCGAGCTATGCCAGCTATGTGTGTACAGCGGGCATGAAGGGTGGCTCGGTGGCTCGGTTATCTTTTTAGGTCTCCGCACAAGCTTATTGAAGCTCCAGTCTGGAGCAAACATCAAGCACCTTGTGTGAGATGTTGCCATTCCAAGCATGTTGCCCATAATAATATGGTCAGTTTGCTATGCCGTGCTTTCGTTCATGTCCTCCTCCATTCATTCAGTAGCCAGAATGTTTGGCGATACCCGGGATAGTGTCAGGATTCCCCATCAACTGTGGAAGTGGCTCAGGCAGGATTTTTCATTAGTCTGACTAGCAGAAACGCTGCTTCCCCTTGAGGGCTACGACAGCAATCAGTGACAGTCTGTTAGAGATGATACCATCGAATGTCTAATCAACAATTGTTGACGATGCACAACTGATGTCCTGCAAAATCAATTCGGGAGACTTGTTTTCTTACTGGTGAGACATCAACAAAACGTTCCTGCGCCGTCAACAAAAAGCATCAAACATGCACGCCTGCTCAACTAATCCTATGGAGGCTTGGCAAAGAAAGTTGCAACAAAGCTTCATGAAACACAGACAGAACAACGCATTTACCTAACACCAGCGCTTACAAAGGTCAATATATATATATATACTATGTATAGTCTATTCATAGGTGACCATGTTGCCAGCAAAATAGTCATATTCAATTCGTACCTTTAACTGACTGTTTTAGAGCTTTAGAGTTATATACATAACTATGTTGATGTGTGTTACTGGAGCCCTGTGGAGAATTTGTGCACAAGTGACTTGTTTGGGAACAGTTGTCAAAGGAGTAGGGCGACAAAATCGCAAAGCACAGCTTGGGCAGCAAGAACCTCGAAAGGCAGAGGAGGCAAAGCCAGTCCTTGACAATCTTGTTCTTCTATATCTTCTACGTATCGTAATATTTTCTATACAATTGATCTAACCTGACTCCATTTAGTTACAGAAAGGCTTGTTGCCAGCGCCGAAACTACCAATAATTTGGGCATATCTATCAGTATGCTTGGTTGTTTCGCGCTGTCAACAATTCCTTTTTGCCTACTACAACGGTTCTGGGTTCTTCAGTCATAATTCTTTCCCTATAATTCATGGTGTGTTATAACAAAAAAACAAAAAACAAAAAACCAATGTTGAACAATGACTTGAACTGGCTTCTTCTTCAGCGCCTCCCAGTTCTCCACCCCAACCAGAGCGTCTCTTGAGACAGATCGAGGATGGGGACGTGCTTGTGCATCCAACCAAAGCACAGATTTCGGCCCGGAGAATCCAAATGCAGATTTGTAACATTCAGAGAGGATGTCACCTTATCATCGGTGCTGCCGGACAATGGAATGCCGAAGCTCATGAGAAACTCCTTCAATGGCTCTTGAAGGCAGAACAGAAGCGCTCTCGGACCGAGACACCATCGCCGTCCTCTATTCCAGCCCTACAAGATGCGCCTGTGGCTCTGGCAATCATGGATGGCAAGATGGATGATGTTGATGCGCAGCCAGATCTTCAGCAAGCAGTTCGTGCACCTCGTGAGCAGCCCCCCAACCTCAAGGAAGTCCAGCCCCCGAACGTCAAGGAAGTCGAGCCCCCGAATTTGGCGGAAGCCATCCACGAAGAGCCTCCGAACCTCAATGAAGAAGAGCAGGATGACTCATCTCAGCACCACTCACCGAGGGCATCCGAGCCAGACTCATCCTCTTCCTCGTCTTCTACATCTTCGCCAATCCGCAAGCTCCGCGAATCGCGAGCCACCATCCGAGAAGTGCGTGAGGGATTGAGTCTGCTGAGGGAGCCGGTGGCCGTGATTTGTGCAGACTGCGGTAGGGCGGTGGATCATCTCCACGGTCTTTTGGCCAAAGCTTTGGAGTAGATAACTTGAACAATGACTTTGTAGCGTCTTCTGGCATCACAACTTTGCAATAATAATATATCTGGAGTGTAGCAGCAAAGCTTTGCAGTCATATAAACAGCACGTGTCTGGATCTGGGATGTTATATATGGAAATGATTCGGGAGGCTGTCACACAGGCTCACCCCCTAATTTTCTCGTGGGTTCCCCGTTTGGAGGTCAGACCAGCGAAGCGGGGGTTCACTAGGCAGTTGATGTATGTTGATGTGCGATATGTTTAAACACCCTCAACCTAGACTCGACGCTAAAATGTTTGCATGGGCGAATGCATGTGGATACTACGTACATGAATATACTCATATGTATATGTGGAGTCTAAGTTTACTATGCGTAGCTGATAGATGCCACAAGCGGTCCCGCCCTAAGCACTGATATCGTGCACATTCAGACAGGGATTTTTTAAGTTAGGCCAACAAAAGTTAGCCATACAGGCCATACAACATATGACAGAGCCTGGTGGGGAGTATTTAGTCCACTGATGGCAGAGACACTGGCACAAATTTAACCGTTGGTCCACCATTGGCCATAAACAAAGCAGTCCGTGCAGCTTATGTGTTGTGTCAAATGGTTTGGTCCTCTTTGGTCTTCGTGGAAACTGGTTGATTTTTGCGTCAGGACCCTCCACCAGAGCCGGCAGAAGCTAGCCTGGCTTTCGCCGAGGCGATGGCACTGTCCTGAATGGAGTTGTTTGAAGTTCCTTGCAGTGTTTTTGGATGAGTGTAGCGGCAGTGTAGCGCTACTCAACGCTTTGTCCAAAATCAAGGAGTTGCACCCGTATCTGGTTTTCTTGACTGACAAAAAATAGGGTTCAATACAAATAAGAAATGCGAAGCCCTGGGGCATCATGGCCTTAGCCAAGCCGCCCTGGCCATCTTGTCGTCCAAGGCTGAAGATCGTGGAGGGCGAGCCGATACTCCTCCTGTGCCGCCCAAGGCAGGGTGCCTTGGTACACGCATACTTGAAGATGCCTCCAGAATTTAGAGTTGGTTGACCTGGGGGCTCCATAGCTGTGATGACACAAGATGACTCTAGTGTGAAACGCGGGCGTTTCATGCAACTTGGGTCGGATATATATATATATATATATCGCAGCCTTGCTTTGCAAGCGAGGGTGAAATCACGAGGATGGAACATGTTGGAAGTATTAAAAGCTGCAGCAAGCAGCGGCTGAAGGAGACGGCGTAGGATGTTTTGGGGAACGTCGGATCTGGATCCCTGCAGCCCGATCGACTTGCCGGAGGTGCATCGACGCGGTGCAGAGGACGGAGGCGATTTTCGGGAATCTAGAGGGTGCCTTGGTACACGCGTAGCAAAAACCGCAAATACTCAAGAACTGCTCTGGGACCTAGGCCAAACGTATATTTTTCAACCTTCCTGTGCCCAGTCTCGATGTGCAATGTCAATTACAACAATTAACAGCTCTTCGTCTGCCTGCTATCACTGTGTAACTCCAATGATAAGTATTATCAGGTTAGTCTTTCTCTGCGCGCAATGACTGTAGCATTACGAGCGAATATAGATATACTATTCTATATATATATACATACATACACCAAGATGAACATGTATGTCAATGATACTGCTTTAATCTCTTGCTTATTTAACTTTCATGAGTTTTGTAAAGTGTCCTTTGGGCAATAAAGTCATCAAAAGATTGTCACAAGGGCGCCTTCTCTCTTTTTTGTCACTTGTACTCATCTCTGTTCATCTGCCTCTACCAAAGCCTTTTGAACCGAAATCATAAAACCATACCAGACAAATCATGGCAGCAGATGGCAAGGTCACGTTGTGTCGAGCAGAGAGCAGCGAGCCCTTCACGTCTCGGCGCCTCGGCGTCCAAGGTTCAGCGTCCAGCGAAGCACCGACCCGATCCTGTTGCGCCGCCAAGAGGACGTTCAGATATCACGGTTTAGTCTAACGCGCTGTAGTGGACTTGACGGTTGGCCGAGCCGCTCCTGATCTTCACAGTAGCTTGCTTCAAAGTAGTTCGTGAAATGTGTCTTAAGCACACATAAACAGGTCATGGAGTCATGGAGCCATGTTGATTTGTCAGAGGGCTTAGTTGTCCCTTTGGCTTCTTTCTGTGGAAGGACTTGGAAGATGCTAAGCAGAAACTGGAGGACGTTCAGATATCCTGTTGCCATTTAGTTTGATTTCACAGAGCCAGGTGTATGCCTTGGGTCTGTCCTACCTGTAACAGTCAGCAAACAAGTAACCATCATCACCCACTGGGCCCTGGCAATAGGATAGACCCAAGCAATGCCCTTCTGTTGGATGATGTGTGGTTTGGTGAGTTGGGAGGTGTCACGCAGTAAATGCAGTGTTACGAGCTGTGGTCGTTCGGAGATTTGACTCAACCCTCATTTTCCAATCAATTAACCATCAGCTCTGTGGGAAAAAGCGCTTCCCTCCGAGATCCTACCCGCGCACCAATGAGCAGCAAAATGCATCAGGAACGAAGGAAGAACCGGCGCCGCGTGAGTAGCAGTCTACTCATGTCGCGCTGTGCGTTTTTTCAAGGCTACATTGCAACATAAATTGCTACATTGAGCGTAATTTGGTGTATTTGGCCGGAGATGGAGCTCGGATACTTGACCGGCGTTGGGTGCAGGGCCCAATGATGCAACGAAGTGATTTCGTGCCTCAGAAGAGGGTGTTTCTTGACGTTTCCTGGTGCCTCTCACCCCTGGCCATCTCGGCGTCCACTGGAACGACGGAGGACGGAGGCGATTTTCGGGAATCTAAGGCAGGGTGGCTGGGTACACGCATACTTGAAGCTCCAGAATTTAGAGCTGGGGGTTCCATAGCTGTGATTACATTACCAAAGCGCTACAAGATGACTCTTGTGTGCCTGTTTTTTGCGCACATAGACCTTGGGTTGGGTTTGAATCACAGCCGTTCTCTGCAAGCGAAGGTGAAAACATGAGGATGGAACCATTGTACAACTTGCTTCGAAGTAGTTGGGACGTGTCTTGGCCAGACTTCAATAGCTCATTGAGCAATTTTGGCATGTCAGAGCGGCTTAGTTGCCCCTTTAACTTGTTTCTGTAGAAGGATTTGGAAGATGCCAAGCAGAAAGTGGAGGATGTTCAAATATCACGCATTGACTCTTGCCGTTTAATTTGACTTCACAAAGTTTTTGAGCCAGAGTCGTTGGGAAGAGTACATAAATTGGAATTGCTTGAAGAGACAAAGCCTCGCCACACTTCTGAGCTTGATGAAGCTGAGAAGAAAGAACGCACTTGGGAGACAAAACTGGAGGCCTTGGGGGCTGCAGCGCGGGACGGACATGTCGAGGTGCTTTGGTCAGCGCCTGCTACAGTAGTGACGTGACAGAAATAGACAGAGCTAGTCCTCACCTGTCGGCCCCGGATTCAGGACATAGATCAGAGGCCAGTAGTAGCGTTTCGAAGAAAGACGCTTTGGTTGCTCCGCTTCTGTTTTGTTCAATGTAGGACGGTCAAGTTCAATCGGAGATGGGGATGAAGGTGGAGTGCGACCAAGCAGACAAGCATGAGACCTAGCGTTTCGCAATTGCAGGAACCATTTGGCGCCCGCAAAGTGATTTTCCACACCCGATTGTGGGCATTTGGCTGGTCTTGGACATATCCTTTTGGCTCAGAATCCGGCACAGACAGAAGAAGGAGGCGAAGACGGTGAGAACCTCAGCCACACAATCATCCTGGACCGTCAAAAGACATGTCTTGATCTCTCTTAAGCTATATACTCTAGCGGACAACCAAAGTCTAGATCGCCGCATCGCTCATGTGGGAAGGGTTTTCGGTTGACTGTTGGAGTTGCTCTAGTGATTTTGCAACGCGAAGGTTGGTCCGTTAAGGAGAGGAGCCACAGGTTCAACGGGCAACAGATTAACAAGTTGTACTATTCTCCACCTGAGAACCTTGAATAGAGCAGCTGCCTGACAGGAAGCTCAATGGCGACTTGGTCCTGGTCGCCTCGCTTCTTCCACTGCAGCTCCTGGGTCGATTGCTACAGTTACAGTTGATTTCAAGGGCCTTGACTGGGTGAGGCTAGGCTGATGGCAGGGCAAATTGGGTCGCATTTAGCGAGGAAACCATAGACAGTTCAATATATATATATATATCAACAGCATTACAAAGATGCAAAGAATCAGACTGGATCACTACAGTATGACAGCAACGCAAAGAATCAGACTGGGCTTGTATGATCTTGTGTGTTTTTGGTAGCTGAGACGAAGATGTTGCGCCCATTTTGCGAGTTTCTTTCTGCCACGTCGAAAGCTGGCACCGTTGGCCCCCCCCAAGTGAGGTCGACTGTATCGGCAACAACCGGGAAGAGCAGCTGCGCCAAGTTCTTGGGACGAAACTAAGGCACGGAAGGGCCTTCTGCAGCGTGGGCCGTGGGGTGGACAGTCCACCATCCACGTGCCCCAGCAGTGGCGCTTCAAGAAGTAAGTAGGGTGTGACCATTCATCCGTTCCGGTTTGGGTGCAATGTTCCGTAGAGGATGAAATCCATCGGGCACTGCACGGGCAAGGCAAACCAAAACAATGTTGACTTGACAAAGGGTTGAAATGACGACTGTCCACTCCAATTTGTCAATCTACAGAGTGCTTGAATGATTTTGATATTGTTGTAAGTTGTACTGGCATAAGTTGCTCCATCAATTTTCCAACTGCTGCTAATGTAAACCGACCAACATGCTGTGTCCAAGTTAGTTCAGTTCTCATTTTGCTACTTCCCGCTTCAGTTTATCGAATTGCGCTAGCCACTTTGGCCCACGGCTTCAAGGCATGAAGAGCATCTTCACACGCTTTCCGGATGCTAGCAAACGCTCTAATACTGTGATGGATGAATTGACGCTGTATGTGGTGAATTTGTGCCAAACACCCCACATGAATAGACCGCTCTGGGCGCTTCTCATGAAAAGCGTATGAGAACCTCAGCTCGCCTTTGGTGAGCAAGAGTTGACAATGATAGCAAACCATTCCTTTCCTGGTTGCGACCTTGATGTCCTTGATGCCAAGCTGAAGATTGAAGTAAGTTTCGCCCTGGCCCCTGTGATCACTGGAAGCGGAATGTGTAGCGGGAGTTGAAGAAGAAGCCGCGTCGGATCCCTGCGCCGTCTGTTCCCAGTTGGCAGCATCAGCCCACGCAGCTTCGTCAGCCTTCATTGCCTGAGCATGCTCCCGGTCGCAAGCCTCAGGCATTGCCACTTCTATCGTGTGGAGCGCTTTCCACCCTGTAGATGGGGAAACTCATTTCGCCATATTTCGTGTCAATTTCGGACTCTGGCGTTTCGGAAACCTACGATGACAAGTAGCCGCTCCTGGAGGCCTGGAGGGAGCACCCCTCGTACTTTCGGTGCTTTGGGGGCAATTCTTTTCTGAGTTGCTCTGCAGTAACAGAAAGATGCGGAGGGCAAAGTTCTGACCATGAAAATGTTCTCAACACTTCGTTGGTTGATAAGTTAAGCTATCAGTTCCATCACCATCCATCGCCGGATGGTTCTCACCTATACATACTCACCGTGCTCCCACCGTACGGACCAGGCGCTGAAGGTGGCGAAGTCCTCAACTGAGGCGGTGGATGAAATGGATTCGGCCGGGTGGGGCGCCTGGAAGACGGAGAACCGCCCAGGATCTCACGGGCGGGAAAGGAGTCACGTTTGAGCTTGGCGAAGTCCCAAGTAGCAAGTATATAGCAGGTCCACGTGTTGCGGGAAAGTAAAGTGATTGGACTTGAATGTCTTTTGTAGCTAAGACGAAGATGTTGCGCCCATTTTGCGAGTTTTTTTCAGCAACGTCGAGCGCTGGCACCGTTGGCCCCCCATATGAGGCCTCTCTTCGGCAACAACCGGGAAGAGCAGCTGAAACGTGTTGGGATGACGCCGAGGCAGGGAAGGGCCTCTTGCAGTGTGGGGTATAGAAAGTCCATCGCGTTCTGGGGTCCTTTTGAGGCGACGCTATATATTTCGTGTCAACCACCGTGATGTGCCACAAGATGAAGTTCCTCAAGAGCCGGGGATCACGTAAATGATCCGGAATTGTTCAAACATCTCTTTCCAAACAGTGAGGGGTTCTTATACGGTAGTAGAAAAGCAGCTGATGCTTAGATCGCTGAAGCGCGCGGGCGTGACCGGCTAATTCGCTGCTGTTTACAATACATTCATGCCTCTCGAAACCGACGAAGTGCATTTCGACTGCGCAGGCTCGCAGAATCTGGGGGCCGGCGGCGGGTGCTTCGAGCGACTGCGCTCTCGTTGTGGCATTTTGGTTCATGGTGGTCACTTTTCGTGGCAGGCGCAAGGGAAACCTCGTGTTTGGCGCTCCAAAAGTCAACGTTTCGTGACAGGCGCAAGGGATCGGAGCTGTCTTACTTCGAAATGCAGTTTTCGTGGCAGGTGCAGCACTTTGGGCATGGTGGTGATCGTTGGGGAGCTCAGATTTCGTGACAGGTGCAGTGAATCGTGACTTTTGGACTGGCTCGTTTGCAGATTTCGTGGCAGGCGCAGCAGTCTGTGACGCTCGATGTGCAGATTTCGTGGCACAGCATTCTGTGACCCTCGATGTGCAGATTTCGTGGCAGGCACAGCGCTTTGTGAACCTCGAAGTGCAGATTTCGTGGCAGGGGCAGCACTTGGTGAACCTCGAAGTGCAGATTTCGTGGCAGGGGCAGCACTTGGTGAACCTCGAAGTGCAGATTTCGTGGCAGGCACAGCGCTTTATGAACCTCGAGGTGCAGATTTCGTGGCAGGCACAGCACTTGGTGAACCTCGAAGTGCA